GTTGTTCATTCTATTTACTTAAGTGTCTATATACATGAATCTTGTTTTGTGGTAGTCATAATTGAAGAACATCTGGAAATCTTTGCACGTTAAAATACATAAAATTGAATCTCAATTAGTTTAGCTTGTTTATTTCAATATAGTCACTTATATTTTATGTGTATGAGATTCATTTCTAGAAAATTTATTGCATGCTAAGAACGTACATAATTGAATATGGGTGTCTTATGCATACAAAATTCATTTGATTTGGTTTAATCTTTATAGTTGCAAAATTAATTAGTGATCATAATCGAGAAATACGTAGGAAACACCACTTGCTACACATATCTGGATTGAAAACTTTATTAGTTTGAACAAGAAGGATCTATAAACAAAAATCCCCGCAGACAAATTGGCACTCCCTGTGGGACTCGTTTGTACTAATTCAAACATAATTGGACTAGTTATAAGCATGTTTTATACTTAGGAGTGGAAGAACAATGTCTACATCTAGTCAAGTAAATATGAACAATGAAAAACATTGAAATGTAGAAAATAGGAACCCTAATCAAAAAAATGTATATGTAATGGTAAATGTAACCACAAGGACAATTTCTCCACCTCCTATAAATGTTACTAATACTGCAGGATTAGCAAATGTGTCATAAGAAGTTGTGAACACTACTCGAGAATACCCATGGGGCATGGCTTCAAACTGGAGGGCTACCTAGCTTATAAGTGTAGAAATGTCAGTACCTTACCCTATGCCAAATCCTGAAATGGCTGTTAGTCTTATGGGTATAATGCGACCCCTAGAAAAATAAGGTTTGTTATGCAAGATCCTTACCAACATGTGGGTACGAGTTAAGAATGGTCATTGATTCAACAAGGTAGTTATATGCCTATGGATATAAGTAATTAGACTATGATGACTCTTCAACAAAAAATGAACCATAGTAATCCTGACATGGTAAATTTATTATCAACTCAGACCATAATGTATTAACTCCCTTATATGACTTGATAACTAAGATAAGAGACAAATCGAGTGATAATCAGTCCTCGAGAACAAATAGCACTAATAGGAATGGAATTGATAATCATAACATGGTAGATGAGGCAACAAATCGAGACAAAAATGCCTGAAGAATGTTAAATCAAATTCACCAGAATCAGGGTGTACAACATAGGAACCTCGAGGACAATTTATATCACATAGTCGAGTGAGTGTTAAATAGACATGAATTTGATATAGGACAAAATGATCGGCCTTATTTTGTGTATATTTTTCGTTGATTATGTGATACAAGCTAAGTTGCCTAGATCATTTTAAATCAATTCCTTGTCTTTAAAAATTCTTAGGGTTTAGGGTTTAGGTTTTAGGGTTTAAGAAATCATTAGGTGATTCTTTAGTTTACTAAATCAAAGTTCACACATTAGGTTCAAGAATTTGTTCAACTAACTCTAAATCTGTTTATAACCTTTAGAATCATTAGGTGATTTGATTCAAAATAAATTTAAAAAATATTTCTCTTAGTTTGCTAGCAGCAGTGCGATTCCACTAAGTATAGAGACCATGACGGGTCGTTATGCTATTTACATATCCTTTTGATTCTTACAATATTTTAGGAAATTAATAAAACACATTTTCTTTTAAACCTAGTTGGATAATTATCAAAAGGCTTACAATTTTTAAGAAAATGGACACTTATAAATATTACAATCTTGGCGTGCTATAAATCATTGGTACAGTTTAATGTGCCAACATATATAATTAGAATTTCCTTCTCTATTATGATGCATTTGCATGCTTTTCTAAAAAAAAAAAAATTTACTATATATTAAACACGAACATCTATCTTATGTGAGAGTGTTTATAAGAATTTTTTTTAAACAAGAAAATTTGTATAGATTTTTTTAGCTTCTTATCTAATTTCATTTTTATTTATCCAAAATATTTATAAATTAAATATTAATATTCTAAAATAAATTATCAATAAATAAAAATAAAATTTTGTTATAATACAAATTATCTATCATAAATCTAAAATATAAGTTATCTATTTAAAAATATTTATGTATATTAATATTAAATAAAATTTATA